CTCACCCTCGATGCGGTCTCCCGCCAATATAAGAAAAGCCCCCCTCGGACAATCGTTCACAAACCCCGTGATAAGCGCGGCGGGGGACCCCTAGAGATGTCACAAAATCCTGGAAGCCTCCACTGGACCACACTAAACTAACGCAAAATTCACACCACCAGACGGGAAAAAATAAACCGAACACAAAGACCGCACCGACCAACCGAAGAGAGAGAAGGAAAAGAAGGAGATTCATAACTGAGGACCACTGAAGGAGGAGGAGTACTTACCTGAACGAGCACGGCCGAGCACCAAAATGAGATATCCACCATTTTAAAACACGACAGAGCGGACTCTAATTGCTGCTCTGACAGGAAAACTATAAAAGTGATTGAACATCATTTAAAGTAGAAGCTATCTGAGGAGCTTTAGTTCCACTTTAAAGGCTGAAATAGGTTCTACTTTTGGCCAATTAACTGACAATTCATCATCCATATTAGATACTCCTTTTTCGAACAAATTATTACGTAATGAGAGGTGAAGCAAAGTGAGTGGTCATGTGATTAGTGTGATTTTACTACATACCTTCTATCTAGTATGAAGTGATCTCCCTGTGGATGGAAATTAAAATCACAGTCAATGACAGAGGTGCAGATAATCCGTAGCTCAGTTTGTTCTTATTGTTATCTCAAACACTTCTCTCTTTCAGCTCTCCTGAAAGCTACGTTTCATCTGTGCATTCAAAATCCAATCAAATCATCAATAAATATCATTAAAAATTAAGGTTTTAAATCTGACTTCATGAATTTGGCTCCAAATGGAGCGACCCTGTCTAAAGATTCATAAATCCAGCAGTGGTAATTGGTAGCAAGAAATCTAGTGAATTTGCACATGAATAGAAACGACACAAAGATTTGTGCAACATGGCCCCCACCCCCCACCCCGCCTACACAAACAGCTCTCACATCATGTGCAAATATCCTTTCTCTGGCTCGCTGGTACTCCTCCTCCCTCTCCTCCATCGATTTGCTCCTCTTGTCAGCTTTCAAACGCATTCGAATCTGGCAAGGACACACCACACACACACGCACACGCTTCTTTAGCAGCAATGTCAGGGACGCCAGATTGTCCCACTCTTACCAACATGTCAGGAATGAAAGTGACAGCTTGGTGGAGGAAAGAGAAGAAGAGAAGAAAAAAAAAAAAAAAAAAAAAAAAACACCTACCGTGCTGTCTTCACGATCAAAGCTGGAGTTGTCTCGTTTGAGAATGTAGCGTTTCTGAAAATCGTCCGCCCTGTCATCCTTGATGTGCTCTGAGAATTTCTGATCGGGTCTGTTGGTGGGGGGAATTCACAAGAGTTTTAGTGGCAGCTTAATTTCAGGCAGATGCTGACAGCAACATATGTTAACCAACAAGCAGGGCAGGAAACCGACTTATCTGTCGATCGATTGCAGAGGCTTATGGTGGCGGAAAATTCACCACCAATTAACTAGCGAAGTGATGCCCTCGTGTGCCGACTTCACTCAAACAAGGTCCGTAAGCTTGTAAGAAGAAAGACCAAAAAAAGAGGCTCACATTCTAGTGTTGGTGGTTTTGTTGATCACCACGGACTTCCCACTGGGGTCCACGTTGTGGTCCATGCCGAAGTAGGCTGCCACTCGATGTAACAGCATCCTGTGATAGGACGTCATGGGTGGGAACTTTCTCTTTTGGCTTCTAAAGGGAGATAAAGAAATGTGGTTAACATTTAGTTATTGTTTTAAATTGATATGCTGGGGGGGAAAAGAAACACATGAATCACAATCCCAGTATGAAATGAGGAGTTAAGCAAGTAGAGGGGCAAGTACAGCTATGCCTGTTTCAGCTGGCAGAAGTCTGTCTGTTTTACCTTGTATGGGTATATCTGCTCTTGGGTATGTTTTGAAAATGTTTCAAAGCAGTGCTGAGTTCACTGGAGGAGAACTTAAAGCCCTCAGTAATTCTAGACCGACAGGACTCGAGTAGTAATAGTGATCCAGACTGAATTTTTCATACTTCCAAAGCAGGATTTGATGACCAGCGCCAGTAGTAAGTTCACAGACTCACTTTTATATAGACTCTACAGCAGTCCCACTTCAAACAGCTGGGACGATGAACAGCTGCTCGTCTTAATTGTGTCACATCAAGCACAACCCATTTGAAGGTGTGAAGATGCTTCTGTGCTCGTGTTCTGGAGAGCTCCGTTATCTCAAGACAACTTGGGAAGAATATATTAACTTAATGGAAAAGTCTGCTGGTTTTCATTCCCATCAAAAACTACTGCAGCTGTGTTCACTAATTGAATTCTCATCCTCTGGTTGAATTTGTTGAACTCATTGAAATCAGTTGCTGTGGTGTTTGGTTAAGAAAAAAACCTGAATGAAAAGATGCACAAAATAGTCTTAATGAACAGTCCTTACTCATTATTGCTGATGAAGTCCAAGATGTCCTGTTCCAACTTCAGTAGCATGATTCGATCCCTAAAAAAACATACATATACACATATACAAACAACAAATACATAATGGGTTCATAATCAATAATCTTTTTGCTTATCAAGTCATAAGAAAGATAACCAATGTGCAGACAGTGATAATACGATCTCTAATGACCAGGTCACACACTAGAGGCTAGAGGACAAATCGCAGGGCTAGTTGGTGGTTAACAAAGCTAATCAGCGGAGAACTAACGACTGTATTACCGATCCAGCGAGCCGGAAATAACTAATCTCATTGCTTGTGTACAATACAAGAAAAAGTTGCTAGCACTAGTTTTTCTGCTCTGCTGTTTACTCCCCCTGACATTTTGTTCTTGGGATTTGTATTAAATAAAATTCAGTCACACAGTTTATACTCCAAGCAAAGGAGATAAGTTAATAAGATAGCTTTCTCCATTTTGCACTCTCTGTCCTCTCGAAGGTCACAACTGTCAAGGCGGCTTGCTATTGATCAATGGCGGGAATTCCTGGGTTATGTTCCCCAAACTTCACACTGATCTCATTAAAATGAATTGATTTCGCCGTTTTGAAAGCTGGTGTGACTCCTGTGGGTCAATGTTTCTCTGCAGTGGTCACATTTAGGTACAGTATGTTGAGCGTACCTCGGGTTGCCCTTCAATGTGTTGACCAGGAACTCGTGGAGATCTATGCCAGTTGAATCTGTGTAGTCTTGACTGGAATCTAACCAAGAGAGAGACAGATCTTATGCTCAACGAGGCTACCTTGAAATGAAAGCAATGCATCACAGATCTCATTTATAAAACATAGATGTAGATCAATTCCACCGTAAATGATCGCTGCACACAAATAAACTCAGATCAACCCCAGACATTACAGCAAGTCATTTTCTCAATATACATTTTCTTTATATGAATAACAAGGATATTGAAAGGTTCCACCCCGTTAACTCCCCAAATTAATGACAAACAGTTAATGAAATGCGCTTTGTGAATGCAAATGAATCAGCTTCTCATTCAACTATTTGTGAGGAGAAATAATGGAAAGGTCAGACGGCACATCTGATCAGAGAAACTTCACTGAGGGTGACACTGCTAAGGGACCATGCTATTTGGTGGTTATAGGTGTGACCGATGTGGAGAAAAAAGGCAGCGAACGGCGCCCACTGAACCACTCAAGAAATGAAGAAGTTGCCAGATAACGACGTTGACACTGAAGAAACGTGTTCCTGTGCACCAACAAAGGATAGGACCCATCAGTGGGAGTCCGGGGACACTTGAGCTCGTTCCCCTCGGTGGGTGTCTGGTTTCTATAATTGGAGGCTGCCTCATCAGTGGTGTTGCTCCACAGAGGGAAGACACTGAAGCAACGTGTTCCTGTGCCACGCAACAAAGCGATAGCGACCATCACGTGGGAGTCCGGGGACACTTGACGCTCGTTCCCCTCCGGTGGAGTCGTCACTGGTTTTATACTACTCGAGAGGCGCCTCCCATCAGTATTGGTTGTTGCTTCCCAGGAAGAGGAAACGCAGTAGCAAAACCTGTGGTAATAACGAGGCCTGCTCGGGAACAATTCCCGATAGATAATTTTATGCTTAATCACCGTTAGAGTACTTGTTGTCGCTAATTACTATGAGATCAATTGCGACGCCAATGTATCGGTTGGCTGGACTATTTGTTGGAGATGAGGGTGACATTGGAGGGCGTGTTGAATGATAGATGCAGAAAAATGCCTGGTGAACGTGGTCTAATGCATGCATTTCTCGGAATCCAACTGGAGGCGAACCTCGTCTGCGATTCGGCTTATGCGTATAAATTATCTTTACATGTTCATGGGGGACATACCCAATTAAACTTTTTTTTTTTTTTTTTTTTCTCAGCACAGTGCGCTCAGTTTGTCAAAGGCACTTCTTCATTTTAAATGATATCTCACTTATGGGCGATATTTTATTGGGCGTGATTGCAGGTTAATTGGAACTCAAGTGTTAAGCAATTAATACGGATTCCACAGGGTATAAAGGTGTTCTG